AAAAAATATTTGCAAATCGTATATCTGACAAAAGGTTAATCTACATACTGTATAAAGAACTCACACAATACAACAACAAAAAATCAAACAACCCAATCAAAAAACAGGCAGGAGACATGAACAGACATTTCTCCAAAGAAGATACGTGGATGGCCAATAGGCACATGAAAAGATGCTCATCATCACTGATCATCAGGGAAATGCAAGTCAAAAGTACACTCAGATATCACCTTACACCTGTTAGACTGGCAAAAATAACCAAAACAAAAAGGAACAAATGTTGGACAGGTTGTAGAGAAAAAGGAACCCTCATACACTGCTGATGGGAATGCAAACTGGTACAGCCACTATGGAAAACATTATGGAGATTTCTCAAAAAATTAAAAATAGAAATGCCATATGACCCAGCCATCCCACTACTGGGTATCTATCCAAAGAACTTGAAATCAGCAATTCCAAAAGTCCTCTTCACCCCTATGTTTTTTGCAGCATTATTTACAATAGCCAAGACATGGAAGCAACCTAAGTGCCCATAAACTGATGATCGGATAAAGAAAATATGGTATATATATATACAACAGAATACTACTCAGCCATAAAAGAGGATAAAATCATCCCATTCGCAACAACATGGATGGACCTTAAGGGTATTATGTTAAGTGAAATAAGCCAGATAACTAAAGACAATCTCTGTATGACTCCACTCATATGTGGAAGTTAAACACGTAGACAAACAAAACAGATCCGTAGTTACCATGGGAAAGGGGAGGTGAGGGGTGTGCACAAAGGGTGAAGTGGTGCACCTACAACATGACTGACGAACAATAATGTACAACTGAAAATTCACAAGGTTGTAAACTATCATAATCTCAATAAAATGTTTTTAAAAAGATATAATTAATAAAACTATGGGAAAATTTAAGAGCCATGGATATAATAATTAAAAAGAACCTAATAGATATCCTCAGACAAGAAGTAAATGGTTTGAGGTAAAAACAGGATTAAGAGAAAGTTTGACAAAACAGCTGCTGGCCCGGTACCCGAGTGATTAAGTTCGTGAGCACCACTGCAGGTGGCCCAGTGTTTCATCAGTTCGAATCCTGGGCGCGGACATGGCATTGCTCGTCAAACCACGCTGAGGCGGCGTCCCACATGCCACAACTAGAAGGACCCACAACTAAGAATGTACAACTGTGTACCGGGGGGCTTTGGGGAGAAAAAGGAAAAAATAAAATCTTTAAAAAAAAATTTGACAAAACAGAAGTGAGGATAAGTGAAGTTGAAGATGGATTTTCTAATAAAATATTATCCAATCCAAGCTACAGAGAGAAATAAAGATTGACAGAAAAGACAGAGTAAGGATTTGGAAACTTACTGTAAAACATCAAGCAATATAAAAACTATGTGACAAAAGTTCCAGAAAAAAAATTAGGCAGAAAAAAATAGAAAAACTATAGTTAAAAACTTTGTATGTTGGATAAAAAATAAACCAACAACAGCAAGCAAACCAAAAAATATATCCAACTCACAGATCCAAGAATTCCTGAATCAGAAGAAATAAAAAGAAACCCAGATTAGGCACATCACTGTTAATTGGTGGAAAAGCAAAGATAAAAAAGAAAACCTTAAAAGTAGCCAGAGGAAAAAAGAAACATTACATGTTGGAGAATAGTAATAAGAAATACAGCTAATTTTCTTAGAAGAAAAATGAAATGTTACCTTTAAAAGACTTAAAAGAAAAAAAGTCAACATAGAATTTTATATTAGTTCAAAATCTCCTTCAAAAATGAAAGACAAAATCATGTTCGGAAAATTTGTATCCTCAAAAATTGTCTATAACATTATTCATTTGACCCTGGCTAACTTGATTAGCAATTTCCAGAAGAATTTTTATCATAAATCGATGTTGGATCTTGTCAAATGCTTTCTGTGTGTCTATTGAGGTGATCATGTGGTTTTTATTCCTCATTTTGTTAATGTTTTGTATCACATTGATTGATTTGTGGATATTGAACCATCCCTATGTCCCTGGTATAAATCCCACTTGGTCATGCTGTATCATCCTTTTAATGTAGACGTATTCGTTTTGCCAACATTTTGTTAAGGACTTTTGCATCTATGTTCATCAGTGATATTGGCCAGTAATTGTCCTTTTTCATGTCGTCCTTGTCTGGCTTTGAGATCAGGGTGATGTTGGTCCCATAAAATGTGTTAGGAAGTGTTCCATCTTCTTCAATATTTTGGGATAGTTTGAGAAGAATAGATATTAAATCTTCTTTAAATGTTTCATAGAATTCTCCAGAGAAGCCATCTTGTCCTGGATTTTTATTTTTTGAGAGGTTTTTGATTACTGTTTCAATCTCTTGTGATTAGTCTATTCAGATTCTCTCTTTCTTCTTAATTCAGTTTTTGGAGGTTTTATGAGTCTAAGAATTTATCCATTTCTTCTAGATTGTCCACTTTGTTAGCATATTTTTTCATAGCATTCTCTTATAATCATTTGTATTTGGTATTCATTGTAATTCTCTTTCATTTCTAATTTTATTTTTTGTAGCCTCTCTCATTTTTTCTTAGTGAGTCTGGCTAAGGATTTGTAAATTTTGTTTATCTTCTAAAAGAACTAGGTCTTAGTTTAATTGATCTTTTCTATGGTGGTTTTTTTTTTTTTTTTGGTTCCAATTCATTTATTTCTACTCTAATTTTTATCATTTCTCAACTTTTACTGACTTTGGGCTTTGTTTGTTCTTCTTTTTCTATTTCTCTTAGGCGTAGTTTAAGATTGCTTGTTTGAGAATTTTGTTGTTTGTTAACGTGGGCCTGTATTGCTATGAATTTCCCTCTTGGCACTGATTTTGCTGTATCCCATGTGAGTTGGTATGGTTTATTTTCAGTTTCATTTTTCTCCAGACATTTTTTGAATTCTCCTGTAATTTCATCAATGACCCATTGGTCTTTCAGTAACATGTTGTTTAATCGCCACATCTTGGTACCTTTCCCAGCTTTTTTATTGTCCTTGATTTCTAGTTTCATAGCATTATGGTTGGAAAGGATGCTGATTTCAATCTTCTTAAATTTTTTGAGGCTTTCCTTGTTTCCCAACGTATGGTCTATCTTTGAGAACGTTCATGTGCCTTGGAGAAGAATGTGTATTCTGCTGTTTTTGGATAGAGTGTTCTGCATATATATACATCTATTAAGTCCATCTGGTCTAGTGTTTTGCTTAATTCCACATTTTCCTTGTTGACATTTTGTCTGCATGATATATTCATTGATGTAAGGGTGTTCACTTCCCCTACTATCATTGTGTTGTTGATATCTTCTTTTAATTTTGTTAATAGTTGCTTTAGGTACTTTGGTGCTCCTGTGTTGGGTGCATATATGTTTATAAATGTTATGTCTTCTTGATGCAGTTCCCCATTTATCATTATATACTCCTCTTCTCTGTCTTTCATTGCCTATTTTATCTTGAAGTCTACTTTTTCTGATGTGACTATGGCAACATCTGCTTTCTTTTGTTTGCCATTATTTTGGAATATCATGTCCACCGCTTCACTCTCAGCCTGTGTTTGTCTTTAGAGCTGAAATGTGTTTCCTAGAGGTAAGATATTCTTGGGTCTGATTTTTTAATCCATGAAGCCACTCTGTGTCTTTTGATTGGAGAATTCAATCCATTTACACTTAGAGTGATTATTGATATATGAGGGCTAAATGCTGCCATTTTATCCCTTGTTTTCTGGTTGTTCTGTATTTCCCTTGTTTCTTGCCCCATGTATTTCAGATCGCCTATTCAGATGGTAGTTCTCTAGGATAGTTTTATCAGTTTTCTCTTTATTTATGATTTGTGTCTCTGTTCTGATTATTTGTTTAGTGGTTACTGTGAGGTTTGTATAAAAGAATCTCATAGATCAGACAGTCCATTTTCTGATTGCCTCATTTCTTTTGTCTAAGCAGTTTCCATCCCTATCCTCTTCCCCTTCTAAGTTATTATTGTTGCAACTTATTCCATTTTGTGTTGTGATTTTATAGTTAAAATGATGAGATTATACTTTTTTTTTTCAGGAAGGTTAGCCCTGAACTAATATCCACTGCCAATCTTCCAGTTTTTACTGAGGAAGATAGGCCCTGAGCTAACATCTATGTCTGTCTTTCTATGGTTTTTTATACATGGGACGCCTGTTGCAGCATGACTTGATAAATGCTGCATAGGTCTGCATTTGGGATTTGAACTGGTGCTTCCTGGCCATGGAAGCAGAGTGCGTGAACTTAACCACTGTCCCACCAGGCTTGACCCAGATTATAGTTATTTTTTATGCATTTCTTTCCTTTATCTTAAATGTTATAATTAAGTGTTTTCTAAGCAGTTCTGAAAGAGAGCTGCAATTTTCAGATTTTTTTCTGCCTATGTATCCCCTTGATCAATGGGTAACAAACACTTTCTTCTTTTTTTTCAGATATGAGGGCCTTCTTGATCACATCTTGTAGGGGAGGTATTCTGGCAGTGAACACCATGAGCTTTTGTTTATCCAGGGAAGTTTTTATTTCTCTATCATATCTGAAGCATATTTTCAATGGATAGAGTATTCTAGGCTGAAGAAAGTTCTTGTCATTTCAATCCACACGCTTAGAAGGAATGTATCCCTCAGCAAAGACAGAATAAGAAGCATGTGCAATACATAACAGGAAGAAAAAGAAGGACATTCCTGACCATGATGAGGTGGTCATTAATGCAAAACGGTCATGGAATTTCTGACACAAGTGTAGTTTATTAGCTTCATATTATAACAAAAATTATTATAGCACCCATAAAAACAATATGTAGGAAACTACGCAGCTGCAATTACAGAAATTATGACTGAGTTAATGCTACACAAAGAGGGAGTCCAAATGTAGGAATGAGGCCCTCAAAGCTTTCAACATCTACTGCTGAGAGTATATAATGGCCAGAGTCCCAGAGGTAGAAATCAACCTCAGAATCTTGCCACTGTAACTCAGCTGGACTCACCTCTCCTGTCACCATGTCCTACAGCTGCTGCTCTGGAAACTTCTCCTCCCGCTCCCTTGGAAGCAACCTCCGCTATCCAGGCTGCTTCTGTGGCTCTTCCTACCCCAGCAACCTGGTCTACAGCACTGACCTCTGCTCTCCCAGAACCTGCCAGCTGGGCTCCTCTCTCTACAGTGGCTGTCACAAGACTTGCTGGGAGCACACCAGATACCAGACATCCTGTGTGGTGTCCAGCCCCTGCCAGAGGTCCTGCTACCGCCCAAGGACCTCCAGTCTCTGCAGTCCCTACGGGTCAACTTATATTTGGTATCTGGGCTGTAGGTCCAGTGACAGTTGTTGCCCAGGCTATGGATCTAGAAGTTCCTATTCACTGGGCTGTGGATCCAGTGGCTTCAGACCACTGCGTTATGGAATCTGTGGCTTCCCTTCCTTGAGCTCTGGATCCAGATTCTGCCATCCAACCTATTTTCGTTTTTGGAATCTCCAGCCATCTTGCTACCGGCCGATCTGTGGATCTGACTTCTACAGATTCACTTGTTGAGTGTCCAGATCATTCTGCAGAATCTCAACTATTTTATTCTCACAAGCAACAACTCTCTTCACGGTTTTCCAAAACTAACTGCTCACCCTTTCTTGGGCCACCCAGCTTAGCTTACAAGTTCGTTCTTTCAGAATGTAGAACTAAGTAACGAAGTTGAGTTTTAAATCATATCGTTGCATTGGTGATAGAATTCATCCACTCATTAGACATTGTTCAAAAATTAAGAAAAATCTAATCATCTTAATTAAATAAACACATTTATTCTTGCATCCATATATGTTGTTGTTATCATTATTTGTTACTTATTTATTAACCAGGAATTTCTTTTACTATTTATTGGGTTTATATATGTAAAAGATGAATTTATTTGCTAAAGCAAGATTTGGAATCAGAGAGGCTGGGGGATTTGAATTAAAATTTTTGCTTTTTAGGGTTTTTTTGCCTCTTTATATAAACTTGGGATAAACAAAATTCTTGAGAGCTTTGAAAGCCTAATCCTTTAAATCACGTGACTCCTTGTATCTCTCTTCAAAGGAGAAAGGCATGTAAGTTAGTGGGTACGTATGGACTGCAGCGAGAAAGAATAAAATTTAGTTACACTGCCAGATCTGTACATGAAATAAAAATTAAACATCAATATGACTTGTGGTTGTACATTTAACAAAATTACTAAATATAAAACGTGAATAACTTCCATTAAGTTTCTCTGATGTAGGTTGGTACAATTGACCAAATCAATGAATCCCAATGAATACTTCTCCACGGAATTCATTTCTTTACAGTGTATAAGGTGGAAGCCAATTATTCTTGGTGTAAAGGCTTTTGATTCAAGGTGTTTGAGTTTTTACCTCTATGCTTTCTAATGGCTCAAACTTCTTTTGGCTGAGAATCACAAACTTTTATGTCAGCAAAAAAAATGGAGATCTTTTGTTTTTATTTTTTATAATTACATGCTAATATTTTATAGGCCATTTATTCCAGAAAACTGTACATTGCTATGTCATACACTGTTTGAGCAGAAGACAAATTTCATAATAGAAAGACCTTGTCTTTGTGTTGAGCTAAATAAATATTTAAAGAGATTTTCAAGTCATTATTTTTTCAGAATTTTAAACAGCACTCAGAGGAAAATAAATTTTATGTGCACCATTAAGTACATTTCTTTGTCTTCTTTTTATTTTGCTGAGGAAGATTGGCCCTGAGCTAACATTTGTTGCCAATCTCCTCTACTTTTCTATGTGGGTCACTGCCATAGCATGGCTGATGAGTAGTGTATGTCAGCCAAGATCCAAACCCACAATCCCAGGCCACCAAAGTGGAACGAACTCAACTTAATCACTACACCATGGGGTTTGCCCCTGTACATTTCTTTTAAACATGAGGCAATGGAAAATCAGTGAGTCATGGTCTGGCTCAATATTGCAGTCCTACAGAGAAATCGCTATTCACAATTTTGTGAAAAAAACAGAAGTTGTATAGAGTGTAGTATAGAATGGAATAGAGGAAGTTTGGGAAGATACAAAGAAATAAACAAAGCAGAGAAGTAGAAAGGTCCCTGGTATGTTTTGGGAAAGGTTGGACAGTTAATGTACAATGGAGGATGTATTTGGTACATGGGGCTAAGCATTTGTAATGGGTGCATCCTACTTTATCATTTTAAATTCTGACTTTCAAATGAAAATAATCATAGTTTTCATATCTACCTATCAATTTTACTGGACAGATTTCTAGGGATAATCCTCACTGTAGATTTCTTGTCTATTGTACACCATTTTTAATATATCGCAAAATGAACATTTTTACCAGCCACCCTTATAGAGAGAAATTTAGCATGATGTTATTTACCAAATACAACTTTTGGCAGCAGCAGACTGGGTAGTTCAAATCACTCCTATCAATAAGAACCTTAGTAAAATTGGGTAAAATGATCTTTGCATGAACACTGAAGCACTATCAGTTTGAGAACTGCCAGATCAAAATTAAGAGAGGTTTTAAGTCAAAATAAATGTTGATAATTGGGCTGGTTTCTTCCTAGCATTTCTACTGACTCCAAAGATGCTAATGGGTTCATGATGTGAATGAGTGGAATCAGAATCCAGGGTTTCTAAGAAGCTGAGAATACAGGTAAACATTCTAGCCTTTTGAAGACTAGGTTTTTGAGACATTCTAGGCTTTTAAAGACTCTCCTAGAATTTTAAGGGTAAGCAAACATAGAATATGCTTCATAGAAACTGAAGCCTTGGTGGCCAGCCCGGTGGCACAGCGGTTAAGTGTGCACATTCCTCTTCTCAGTGGCCTGGGGTTCACTAGTTCAGATCCCAGATGTGGACATGGCACTGCTTGGCAAAAGCCATGCTGTGGTAGGTGTCCCACATATAAAGTAGAGGAAGATGGGCATGGATGTTAGCTCAGCGCCAGTCTTCCTCAGCAAAAAGAGGAGGATTGGCAGTAGTTAGCTCAAGGCTAATCTCCTTCAAAAAAAGAAGAAAGAAAGAAACTGAAGCCAACCTTTGAATTGCATCAACATTGATGTTATGGGATTATGCATAATCTTACCCCAGGTTGCTACATCCAAAGTAAATTTCTCTGCAAATAGTCACCTTCAGAGCCTCAACCTTTCTATTGTGATTGATTAAAAATTACCAAGTTTAGAAAAAGGCAAGAAAAGAGCAAACCAAGAGACAACACAGCATTCAAACAAACCTACAGTAGGTCTGGATAATGGACATATTAGAAACGCACATAAAAATTATTGTGGCTATTAATCTTAATAAATTAAAGACAACTTTAAGAATTTTGACAGAGTACTCGAATATACAAACATGAACGTAAAAATGTTAAAACTATAAAGTACAATAACTCAAACAAACAAAACTCGAATTCAAAGGCAAACTAAAACCATCAGAAACTATGGACCAACCTCCCGCCAGCTGACAGGTAGAATATAATACTGTGCTGAGATCAGAAAGCGGCAGCATATCCGGTGGAGTATAGGCAAACTGGAGGTGCAGTCAAGCTGATAAAAGTTGGGGACTGTGCTTGGCTAACTCAACTCTTTGAGGAATCTCACTGATAAGCCCTGTACCTTTCTAACATGCAAAAGAAAAGACTTACATTCTCTGGACAAGAAGTAATTTATTTGCATATGTATATTTGTGTGTATATATGTATCAATCATACTTATATGATTGTATGACCATATAATCACAAATGTATATAAATACAATCATATGTGTATGTAGATATAAATATATCTACTCTGGAATCCATGGTTCTTTTATATACAATGTCTGTAATGCAATAAAACAAAGAATTTCAAAGAGCATTTAAATATTACCACAACCAAAAGAAAAACAATCAATAGAAAAAAATCCACATTTTACAGAAATATTAGAGTTAGTTGGCACAGACTTTAAAATGACTATGATGAATAATTTAAGATAAAGATGGCTATAATTGACAAACATATGGGGAATTTTAAGAAATGTGGTAGTAATAATAGTAATAAAAATAACAATAAAAAACGTGGATATCTTCAACCAGAAAATCAACTATTTAAAGCAAAAGTAGGATTAAAAGAATATTTGACAAAACAGAAGTAAGTATAAGTGGAACTTAAAGATGGATTTTTAAATAAAATATTATCCAATCCAAGCTACACAGAGATTAAGGATTGACAGAAAAGACAGAGTAAGGATTTGGAAACTTGTTGAAAAATATCAAGCAATCCAAAAACTATATAACAACAGTCTCAGAAAAAAATATTAGGAAGAAAAAAATAGAAAAACTATAGTAAAAATCTTTATATATTTGACAAAGAATAAGCCAACAATAGCAAAGAAACCAAAAAAAATCTCCAATGCACAAATCCAAGAATCTTAGGATACCTGAATCAGAATAAATAAAAAGAAATCCAGATCCAGTCACATCATAGTTAACTGGTAAAAAGAAAAGATAATAAAATCGTTAAAGTAGCCAGAGGAAAAAACAAACATTACATATGCAGGAATAGTAATAAGAAATATAGCTAATTGTCTTAGAAGAAAATGGAATGAAATCTTTAAAAGACTGAAAAGAAAAAACAACAGTCTACCTGGAATTTTATATCAGTTCAAAATAGCCTTAACAAATGAAAAGAAAAATGTAAAAATATTCAAAAAGTTTGTATCCTCAAAAATTACCTGTAAAATAATTCATTTGACCCTGTCTGATTTGATCAACAATTTCTAGAAGTGGGTGCAATTGAAACAGTAGGTACTATAATATATGGATAACACTCCTTAGATCAGAAACAATTGGATCCAGATTGGGGGCTGGCCCCCAGGTGACTTAGTGGTTAAGTTTGGGAGCTCTGCTTTGGTGGCCCAGGGTTCAACGGTTCGGATCCTGGGTGCAGACATACACACCACTCATCAAGCCATCCTGTGGTGGCGTCCCACATAGAAGTGCTAGAAGGACGTACAACTAGGGTGTACAACAATGTACTGGGGCTTTGGGGAGGAAAAAAAAAAAGAGGAAGATTGGCAGCCAAGGTTAGTTCGGGGCCAATCTTCCTCACCAAAAAAAACCCAATAAAACAAAAGGGAGTTGAGTAAAAAAAAAAAGAAAATGGTTCAATGTCTTAGGAATGCTGACCCACAAACAAAAAAATTGCAAGTCAATATTTCCACAGGAAAGAACATACATATTTTGAAATTGTCCATTTGTATAATGTTCACACATAATTCACTTTTTAAAAAAAAAAAATTACCCCTGAAAGTCTACATTGTATAGAACTAATCAATACAAGGTTAGGACTGGACTGACCAGGATGTGAGTGCATGGAAAGTCTCCTTCAACTGATACCCCCATCGTTTACTGTCATACAAATGTAGAATTAGAGATGAAAATAAACTGGAAGAGAATGAGGTTCCAAGCCTCGCTGATTGGTGCAGAGGATCTTACTAGGACTCTCAACTCTTTGAAAACAAATTTATTAACTTTCCACTTTTGCCTAGAGT